TATTTGAAAAAAAAAAAACCAACGAAAACATCTCCAAATAAATATGAATTGTTTTAACTCTGTGACTCCCAGCAAAGGCGTCTATTCCAAATACCCCGTTTTAATAGTATCAAATTTAGTTATTTTGTTAATGATCCTGGAGTAACTTAAGCTGATTGACTCTTTTATTTCACTGACTTTAGTGATTTGATCTGAGGTCTTATTGTCTTTGTTACTTACTATTCTGTATTTACCTGGAAATACCAAGAGAGTTTTCACATTGCAGAACATTCATTGAATGCAGTGATAAGATTTGTTACTTATTTACAAGATTAATTAAGTTCATTGCAGAGCATTTACTGAATGCAGTGATGGGAATTGTTACTTATTTATAAGATAAATTAAGTTTCCTGGTTCTATATCTTTTTCTACCTAAAAGGCTTAAGCAGGATCAGCCCACACTTTTTGATAACATGGAAAATTAGAACTCTTTAGTCAAAATATAGGCGTAGAAATTGTCTCTGTTAGTTGATAATCTGCTTGTTATTTTCTGGCTACAACAAATGCTTTCTTGATGTTTTCTGTGTTTTGTTTTTTTTTTTTTCCTGTAGTCTTACCAGCTGGTTTGCCCTACATTTCTTTGCAATGGCATTCCGTGATCACCTGACATACACTTGTTTTGTGACAGGATAGTGGTAGCACAGATTTCTCAGCAAGTTCTGGCTTAGTGTCATTTCCTTCTTAGTAACTTCTGTGCTTTCTGATACTTATGTTTTTGAGGAAGCATAAAACTGCTGTTGTTCAGATCAGTGCCCAAAACAGTTCGTTGCAAAGCAACCTTCACCTACGAGTCCTTAAATGGAGTCTTAACAATTTACCATTTAAGATATTACCTTTATTAAATAAGATTTCCATAGGAAATATTCCTTCTGCTCTCTCAGAGTAGATGCTAATATAATGGTTTTGAATTATATTTTTCAAAGACTCACCAAAACCTCACGATTCACTGTTTATTCTTTCATGATTTCTTTGCAATTCTTTTCTGTCTTATGCTGTCCTCTTCAAAGGGTAATGGTTCTGCAAACTTCTCAGACAAGTAAACTATGAATAGTCATCCACTTATCTCTTCTCTCATTAACTGTATAGAAGACTTATTGCACTCTGTGCTGTTTCATAGGATATACTTGAAAACTTTTCTCCTACATTTTCATATAAATATATACATATAAACATACATATATATACATGCATATGCATATAGATGTATATATTTAATAACGTCTCTATGTATGGAATTAATGGCTAAAGTTGTTAGAAACAGTATGGGTGTTAAGACAATCAGTTTTAAAGATGATCTTTTATAAACTTTTTTTTTCTAAGCTTTAGTACCACTTTTGTAGTACTTAGTTGTTGTTTTTTTATTATTATTTACTTAGATTACATCAAAACTAGTCGTCCCTTTGCATCTGTAATCGTGGACTGTTAAAACAGTCATGTAATTAGAAATTGCAGAATGAGCTTGTGTGCTTTAATAAATAATGGCAATTGTTTGATTTTCTTTTCATAATTGATGACAAAACATTGATTTTAAAAGTTATTTACATTTGCATTTATAATTCAATGATGCTAAATATTTATATTAATTATTTTAACTGCTAGGGACTGCAAATCATGCCTCATCTTACCATTTTCTTTCTTTGTTTTAAATTTCTGCTGCAGAATGAAAGAGGCGAGATTTACATGAAAAAGCAAAATCTCTTAGACCAGATGGTAGATGCAAAAGCAATGGACAGAGTTCCAGGCACTCACTTCTGAAGCAGAGGCATGCTGCAATGTAGCAGAGACTAGGAACAGCTGTCCTGAGTTGCCAGGAGTAAGCCCTTGATGAGAAAAGTGTACTCTGCACTTGTAGCAAAGAGGGGGATAACAGAAAGGAGATGAGGAATACAGTGTTAGACCACCTTGTCTGTAACAACATGGTGACCATCTTTCTTGATTAGTCTTAATCCTAAAGCTTCCATTAGCTTCCCAGAGCCAGCAAAGGAAATACTGCACTAGAGGTAGTGTCTAAATACTGTTTTTGGCACCAGCTTTATTTTTTTTCACGAGAAGATGTTCCTTATCTCATCTTCTTATTTATTGCCTTGAACATATTTCTAGAAATGACTGCTGGCCAGAAGCACGTTCACGAAGACTGTCACCAAAGTACTTGACAGTAAGAAAGAGCAGAACTGTATGACATGGCAGTTCTATAGTGATACATTAGATTAATAAATCATCAAAATGAGAGTTTCCAATAATACATTACTGAAAAGACCTTGTGGACCAGAAGTAGATTAATTTTAATCATACAGTCTCCCCAGCAAAGGCACACATAGTGGAAGTAGATGACAAAAAGCTATTAAAAAGGAAAGAAAATCAGACTGTAATTACTGTTCCTCTGTGTTCAACAAAAAGTAATTGTTTCATCTTCTAGTATTTGCACTTCATTTGCTTTGTTCTGCTGATGGGTTGTGATTATGCTAAGTTTACCAAGATTTGACAAGCCGTCTTGCAATCAGGCAACACTGTTTCTGTGAATAGACTTTGGAATGACTAATATGGCCAGGTATGGTTGGTGCTACTTCCAGTCAGACTCAATGACCTGGAATCCCTTTTGGAAGTTGTTTCACTCTTCTATGGTTTTACTGTTTGTGCATATCTTAAAGAGATATGAGGACAGTTAGCATTAGGTGCCATTCCCTAGGCAAGATTTGAGCAGATCCATGTTAGAAGCAAATAAATGCTAAGATGGTGAATCTCAGAATTTAAACTTCAGCAACAATCCATGTGCCAGAGAGATTACAGGTGGAAATGTTGATGTATGTTTTTCACCCAGTTTCATGCTACCTACTTACTATTGCTTTCTTCAGCCCAGCTTAAATGTCTTGAAAGATGATGATTTTGCAGGATTCCTCTTGGCAGGTGTTTAGTGATATAGATGAGCTTGCCATTCAGTAATTGCATAGCCTGGATAGTTGAAAAAATAAAGTAGTTCACAGCATTAGCTGCAGATCTAAGTGGGTCATGCCATGCAAATGTCTTTGATTAAAACCACAAGAGACACTGCTGTGTTTGTAAAAAGCACTTCAGTACAAGTAATAGAAATCTAAGTGAATATAACAAGCACTTGTGTACCCAAGTGCACGTGCTGAGCAAATGCCAACAAAGGAAGGGTTGGCTGAATAGATCAACAGAGATTAAATATCTGTGCCTTCAAAAGAGGACAGAAGTATGATATGATTTATTTTTATGGAAAAAATCTCATCCTTGTTTTCAATAACAGAAAAGGTGTTCTGAGCATGGATATACATCACCAGCTGCTATGAATTTACAGATTTAGATGATCAGAACACTTCTCCTAGAGAGACAGTTGGGGTTGTTCAGCCTGAAGAAGAGAAAGCACTGGGGAGACCTTATAGCAGTCTTCGAGTACCTAAAGGAGGCTTACTGGAAATCTGTCCACTTTATCAGGGAGAATAATGATAGGAGAAAGGGGTAATGGCTTTAAACTAAAGAAAAGGAATGGTTTTAAGCTGAGACGGGAGGTTTAGGTTAGATATTAGGAGGAAGTCTTTCACTCAGAAGGTGGTGACACACTGGAACAGGTTGCCAAAGGAGGCTGTGGATGCCCCATCCCTGGAGGCATTCAAGGCCAGGCTGGATGTGGCTCTGGGCAGCCTGGTCTGGTAGTTGGCGACCCTGCACACAGCAGGCGGTTGAAACAGGATGATCATTGTGGTCCTTTTCTATCCAGGCCATTCTGTGATTCTGTGGTTCTCTGGTTCTATGAAAGTAGATCTAGGTTAGGTGTTAGGAGGAAAATCTTTTCTCAGAAACTGGTGAAGCACTGGGACAGGCTGCTTAAAAAAGCTATGGCTGTCCCATCCCTGGAGGTGTTCAAGGCCAGATTGGATGTGGCCCTGGGCAGCCTGATCGAGTGGAAATTGTCCCTACTTATATCAGGAAGGTTCGAACTAGATCTTTATTTTGTAAATGCTTAAAGCAGACAATGAGTACTATTGTTTGCTTCTCTACTGCTGTGTCCTGAATCCAGAGTTTGTTTTTCTGCGTATCAGCACTAGCAGATGCTTTTGTTATGACAGTGGAAGTGAGAACAACTCTGTAGTCTGCAGCTACCACTGCAAAGTTTGCCAGAGTTACAAGGCAGAGGCAATGGTTTGAGAACTCAAGCAGCATGTAAGTGTTGCAGTCTTTGTTGTTTCAAATGTGAACAGACTTAGTGTAAAAGTAAACTAGAATCTATAGCTTTGCTTATAGATTACTAGGAGGAGAAGAAATATTTCAGCATGTTTCTATTTTTTTCTGAGTGGATAGAACCTGTTTCTTTTATGTGTTGACCTACTGTAGAAGAAAAAAAAAAAAAAGCAAAAAAAAAAAGCCTTGACCAGGGAGAACTGGGGGGGGAGTAAATGTGACTTCATAGAAATAAAGGAATCTCCTAGAATGTTTCATTCTGTGAGGTAGAGAGTAATAATCAGCAATAGCACAATGGGAAGCTGACAGGGAGAGGGAATGGGGAAAATCGTATTGTCCTGGAAAGTCAGCATCTCTTAGCTGTGCTACACTTATGCTAGAAAAGGGTTATTGAGTGTAACCCCCACCTTGATTCTGCAGTTTGTTTGCAGGTTGCCAAAGAGCTGACTAGTCAGACATAACACCATTGCTTCATGAAAACAGTGCAAATAAACTGTGGTAGGATGTGATGTCTATTGCCTGGATGAGCTCAGTTTAGCGTGTGTTCTTTGACTCCACAAAAGTAATTCTTATGAGGACACTTGATGCACAGGATGACTTGCATAACTATTTGGTTCCTCTGTAGCTTTTACTGCAGGAAATGTGTTGACAAACTGGAAGTGGTTTTGCCTCATAATGGTCTGATGTATGGTAACCTAAAGAAAATTTGCTGCTGGCAATCAGGACAGCCAAGTATCTAAAATTTACTTAAGAGCAATGAGAGGAGTTTGTGAGCGAAATTCCTGCACAATATGATGTTTCTTTTTAGCTTAGATTGTAACTCTAAGATTATTTTCACAAAATTTTTAGTTTAGGGTAGAACAGGGCAGTGAGAGATGTGCATGGAGTGGCAGTTTATCTTTTGTGTCACGGTAAGTTTTTCTGCCTTTCTCCAATGACTTGTTCAAAAGTTCATTCATCCTTCAGATCAGAGTTCTTACTCAGCTGTATTCGGATGGATGAGGTGAGGTTTGAGTATTTTTCTCATTGCATATGAGAAAAAGTGTTGATATGAGGTAACTGATGGAATTTTCTATGTATTTTTATGCGCTTTTAATGTAAAATGATGTGGATTGTTCTGTAGATTTTCTCTTCAGGGGTGGCATCTTCAGTTTTCCTTTAGATTTCTAGTTGCTTCTTATGCTTTGTACTGTCAGACATGGCAATACAAGAATGCCAGGTTACTATGTTAATTGTTGCAGTTGTCAACATACTTTCTTGCACGTATTATAATTTAGTTAGCATGTGTTTTCACTTGGGTAACATCACTGCTATTAGCAACTCTTTTCCTTACAGTGTGTTACATCTATTGCTGGCTAGTGAGAATATAAGGACGACCCAAGATAGAATGCAATGGGCAAATCTAGTGGATTAAATTATTGCATATATTAGTCTGAACAACTTCAACTGAAATTATTTCAGGAATGAACGTGATCCAGTATGTGAGTAGAATTGTTATTACCAGTGATAGCTTCTCTTTTACTTCTACTGTGAAAACTAAATACAAACTTTAATCTATGTGGGAGTGATTAAGGAGAGATTAGCCCATACACACAAAACCAGATCTTTGGCTAGTGTTAGCAACCCAGCTGATTTCAATGCATATGCAGAAGCAAATGTCATTCTCTAATGACCTCCAATGAACCAGTACTACAGTTGGTTTTCCACAATATTCTTTGCAGATCATTACGCTGTTTAATGAGTAATCTGTTGCTGTACAGGCCAGAATGGAAGTGAAGTATTCAGGCTGCCTTGCAGATGGTATTAGGCTGAAATTAGTCATAATATGATCTGAATATAGTAGAAGTAGTGAAATTGCTTGACAACTAATTAATAGTTAGAAGTTTGATCAGATGCCTGCCTTTTTTGAAGACTAAAACATTCTATATAAGAATTTCATGCTTTTTTTTGCCCATCATACTATGAGAGCTTTGTTCCTTGACAAACTAGTATGCCTGGTGGTCTGCTGCCACCGGGTCCTTACCAATTCTTATAGACTTTCTGGTGATGTGAAGGAAATAGAATTACCTTTCTGTTTTTTCTTGAGCTGTGCATTGCTATCTCGTGACTATTAATTCAGTATGCCACTTTGTTGATAAACTCTGACATGGTAGGAAGCTTGATTTGTTACTAATTGAAGTATCAACACCATACTTTCATCTACTTTTTTTTTTTTTT